CCTGGGTCCTTTCCCCCAGTACCAAAATCAAATCAAACCCTAGGGAATTGATAGCTGGTCAAACGTAAATTGACCATTGTTCCATAAGCACCACAGAAACAAATTAGAGCTATCTTAATTAGATCTTAACTCCAACATGACTATTCCAAATACTAGGCCTTCAAGGAGATACTACAAAAAAATGAGAGATGGAAAGGTGGGCAAGGTCTGGAACAGTGACTTATCAGGGCAACACTGCCCCTACAGGACACTGTCATAAATCAGGGAGCACACTACCATCATTAATGGGTCTAGAGTGTTACATAGTAAAGATTCAGCATCCTATTGGACTTTCATTTATGTAAATTTATCATCTGAGCCATGAAGCTGGCATTTTTGTACTTTCTAAATGTCTGAAATTCAGTTAAAAAAAGAAGAGGCAACTTCCACGGAGAACTTTTTGTTACTGATAATGATAGAACATCATGACCAAAGTTTATCTGGATTTTAGAAAAAAAAAACCTGACAGCTCAGAAAACCGTTTCAGCCAAGAGATAAAATACTATGGCTTGACACAGGTCCAGGTTATTGGACCTCTGCAAATTAAGATAGTTGTTGGGATAAGTTACATCTGGTTACTTACTTACTGTCCTGGGAAAATCCCTTTTATGGGCGTGACCTTCCAAGTAGGTTTTAAATGTCTCCTTTATTGGTGTTTTTACGTTAATGATGTTGACTAAATTTACCAATAAACTTGTTTATTCACAAATTGAAACAAAAACTATGGCTTGGACATACTAAATTGAGACTTTGTCTCAATAAAAAGGACTGGGGTCATACCTCAGTGAATGAACATCTGGATGAAGAGCCCCAGGGTTCAATCCTAAATGGGGGTGGGTATGGTCAGAGGCATAATAATATGTAGGGACAGCCTGAGCAAAAACACAGGGAGACCCTGCTTCAAAATAATAAATCCCCAAGGAAACACATGTGCCAAAATAGCTTTTTTAATAAGCATGTTTTAACCCATTATTGATGTAATGGGGGAGGAGATGGAGACATTCCCAGTGCTTTTACCCTTGGTGGTGTGTTCTGAGAACCAAGAACATACTTCCGTCTTTACCATACTTTACTGAGAATGAAGGTATATACAGACAAGACTTTTATGAGCGCCCTTCTCTTCAGTGGAACACCAACAAGTCACTGAAAACAGGCTGTGCCTCATTCTATCATTAGCACTGTAGAAGCACGTTACTCAAAAATATTTTTTTGGGGGGTGGGGTGGGGGGTGGAGCAGAGGGATTACTGGAATTGCTGAGACTGGCCTTGAATTTACAACCCTCTTGCCTCAGACAGAGTATCTAAGATTAGAGATGAGCATCATTGCACCCAGCTCTCAATTACATCTTTTAAAATATGTATTGGGTGTACCTTCTTATCTTGCTTATTCTAGCAAGCTCTTTGGATAAAAATGCAATTATTGCCACTTCTGTACTACTCAATCTATCCAGACTGATAAGGATCTTAATCGTGGTCAAATACAACTCAAATAAGAAAAAACAGGAAAAAACAAATTTAATCTCCCCAAAGAGACTTTGTGACACAAAAGACAATCACAGCTCACCTAATGCTTCTGCTCTGTAAATTTCTGCCTTGATTTTCATGGCCCAAACCATCCAAATTCAAGCACTACACTGCACATGTACCATGTCTGACTGTTCTCCCATCCCTAAAACACAATCATCTTTACTCTAGCTGCAAGTACATGAAAATAAGCTAACTTTTTGCCAACTACACTACTGCCTTAAATGAGACCTCCATATGAGTCGTTTCATAACTTAATGCTCCTATATGCTGTTACCTTGTTGCGCATTACCACACAAGCTATTAAAATACCTAATTCCCGTATGTAAAATTATAATCCTGTGGTAATAAGAACAAATTCCAGGATTTAACATCTACATGTTTCACAACCCAAAGCATCCAGATACCAATTTTCAAGTCCTGCAGATATTAACTCCTTAATATCACAGCCACAATTTATCTCTTTATTTGCTCCCTTTGGAAAAAAAAAAAAAATCCCTGTCACTCAGCCACACATCTGTTTCCCAGGCACAGTCCACCATTACCTTTAGACTATAATAGTCTACAGATGCTTTCAAGGGCAGAGACTGGAGGGTAGGCAACTACTGCCCCAGTACTAGGAAACAGAAGTTAATACATTGGATGCCCATTCTAGATTTTTAAGTCAAATGATTTTACTTTGAAGGAAGACAGAAAAAAAACCACTGGAAGATTACAGTGTATTCCTGTTCCAAGTCACAAATCAGTGACCAGGTAAGCATGGCAATTTTTACCCAGCTCAAGATAACAGGTATAACCAATACAAATCAGTCCTGAAGTCTTCAACACCCGTCATTCATTGTTGTTTGTACAAAGAATCCCAGTTCTGAAAAAAGCCACTCTCCCATATATCCCTTTCTTAGTAGCAACTAAGAAGTCTTTATGGCTTCCCTATTGTCTTAATAGCTTTCAATTATATTATGGACTATAAACAATTTACAGGGCTCAGAGACAGACCTACCAAGATGGAGTTTTGGTGACCACCTCTCCAAAGCTCTACAGACTTTTAATGTGAACTATACATTGAGAATTTTAGTTGCCAGGGACAATAGAGCACACCTGTAATCCTAGCCACCCGGAGGCTGAGGCAGAAGGGCCAAATTCATGGCCAGACTCAGCATTTTAGTGAGACCCCCATCTCAAAATAAAAATAGAAAGGGTTGGGTATATGGCTCAGTGGTTAAGCACACTTGGGTTCAATCCCTGGTGGTGTGGGGATGATGACAAACTCCAGAAGACTCTACTTTCTTATTTTTTAAGGCAACCTCATAATACCCATCCTTTTCGGGGGTGGGGGGTATTAGGGATTGAACCCAAAGGTCCTCTACCTCTGACATAGCTATATCCTCAAATCCTCAGGTTCCCACTTAAGTTGAACCTTAAGAGTCCCACTAAGTTGCCCAGGCTGGCCTCAACATGCAATCCTCCTGCCTCAGCCTCCCAAGTCACTAGATTATAGTCACGAGCCACCATACCCAGTAGATAATACTGGTTCTTACCTCACAGGCCATATAAACACAAAAGATCCAGAAGTGAAGTAAGCTTCAATGTTCTTTTAATTCTTTAACTGCCTCAATACTAGTAAGAAAATTCTTTGTAATGCTAACCTTCACGCTAAACTAGAACTTTTCATAAAACATAGTAAGAAGCAGAAAGTCTTCCAACATCTGAGGAACTAGCGTAAGCACAATGGAGCTGCACTGACATGCTAGAGATCATACAAATCTTTCAATGGCTATGAACAGCTAGCTATTCTAGAAATGACAATTTCTAGCCATTAGAAATTACCTGTAACTATGTGGACAACTATCAAATTGAAGATGACTAAGGTCTATTTTCAGAGACAATATAATAGCAGTTGGTATACATAAATACCAAACTTCAAATCCTGCTTACTATGGGCAAGTTAATCAATCTCTTCAGAGCGGAATACCTAAACCTCAAAAGTTTTGGTGATTAAATGAATTAGTTCATTTTAAGCATTTATACTAGATGACCCTGGTGTAAATTGTTAGCTATGTCTATTATTACCATTATCTTCCTGTGAAGGAAGTCACAATTCCCAAATGGGAATCCCACCCAAACAGACTAAAACTGACCAGCTTGACTAAGTTTTATTATAAAGAGAGGAAAAACCAAGCCTTCCTACACCATGGAAAATAAGTATGCATGCAGAGGCCATGTAGGGAATGCAGTCAGCCAAGTGACACAACTAAATGTGACACTGGTAAAAAAGAACAAACACAGGACATCCTAAAGGTGGTGGTAATACAGTCAGCTGGGATTACTTATGTGGAAACACAGGGCCTTAAGGCTAATGAAGTTCACATCTTAAAAACATGAAACCTGGATTGTATTGGTATCATTTCCAGAATTTTAAATGTTAGTGATTAATTCTAATTAAAAAAAAATACTACTGTCCCAAAACATCAACCAGCAGGTTACCAGCTTGTGATCTCTGCTCTACTTGATTTCCTTTGCTTCAAATTTCCCCCTCATTTCAAAACTTCATAATGACAAACTGGCATTTAAAGTACTCTGGAGAAAAAAAAATACCCAATTCAGTTATTAAAATGCATGTCCCATTAAAGTTGTTATTGATTCATGGTAATCATGAATTTAGCAAATATGGATCAATCTTAAAAAGCTAAAAAAAAAAAAAAAAAAGTAACCCTGGGAGGAACGCTAATAAACTACTCAGGTGGTTCAATTTTTATTTTGCCAACACAGCACACAAAAGAGAAACTCAATGAATTTCTTTTCAGAATTCCTAGATTACATGTCGAAAAAAAAAAAAAAAATTTTTTTTTGCTTTTCTTTAGCAAGAGTCTGAAACCAGGAGTGCTATGTCTGAACTATACATCCCCAGCCCTTTTAAAAAAGATAGGGTCTAAGTTGCCCAGGTTTGTTTCAAACCTGTTATACTCCTGGATACCTAAATACCTCTCGGATAGGATTTTATTGTGTCACCATGCCTGACATAATTTCACTTCTTTAAAAGTCCTATAAGCAGATGGATGGTAGTGGTTGAGGCAGGAGAATTCAAAGCAAGACCCTGTCTCTAAATAAAATATGAAAAATGGTGGAATAAGATGGACATTATTACCCTAGCTACATGTATGACTGCACATATGGTGCAAGGCTACCTCATGTACAATTAAGAGATGAAAAGTTGTGCTACAATTGTGTACAAAGAATCAAAATGCATTCTGCTGTCATATATGCCTAATCACAATAAATAATTAATTTTAAAAAACAGAACTGGGGATATGGCTTAGTGGTAGAGTGTTTCCTAGTTGAATCCCAGGTACAAAAAAATTTCTATAAGTTAGGAGGATTCCAAGTTTGAGGCTAGCCTCATAACTTGGCATGACCCTGTCTCAAAAGAGGTGTTGATGTGGATGTGGCTCAGTGATTAAGTGTCCTGGGTTCAATCCCAGGTACCAAACCAAACACACACACCATTAGGAGAAAACCCTTTAAGAAGTGATTCCAACAAGGCCAAAACAATTCATCATTGGTGACAACTGAAGCTATCAACCAACATTTATAATGAAATGTCTTTTAAGGAAGGAAATTTACATAAAAATCCTGTATTTCAGTTATAAAACATCTAGAGAATCTAGAATAGGAAATCCAGGGAATTCCAAAATTTAACCACCCTAAACACTGCATCCTCCCCCTTTATACAGTCTGTCTTCCTCCCTCAGAAGAGTAAGGTGCTTTCATGAACTGTTCTGCATTTTCCAAATAAATATCGATATTCCTTACAGGAATAAAAAAAAAAAAAAAAAAGAGTAAGGTGTCCCCAACTAAGTCTGTGATCTGTTTTACTACATGAGCAACATCTAGAACCAACTCCTATTTTCATTAAGGCAAACCTCCCCGACTGGAACTCATTCTACAATACCCTATTTAGGTCTCAGAATCATTAAAAACTACTAATTTAGCAACAAGGCAAATTTTAATGAGTTAATTCAACAACAGTTCAGGCCAGGATAGTTCAAACAAAAGATCAAAAGCCAATTTACACTTAACTGGCCCTGAAGGATGAGCAACTGAGTTGCTTCAAAACCAGAATATTCAATGAACAGCATCTCATAGAATAAATACTTATAAGAGAGCCACAGTATAAAATAAGTATGAAGAGCCACAATATAAAAATTTCTTAAATGCTCACAATACAAAAACTACAACTTATCCCCTCTAATGTGTACACAAGAGATCTGACTGCACTAGGTCAACAGCTAAATGCAGTTATTTTGAAGCTATGGTGGACAGACCATTCTCACCAACATCTGGTATTCCTGTTAAAAATGTATCATAACTGCAGGAGGATCTCAGAGATTTTTCATTTTCAACTCCCTTAAATTCAAAACTACTAGTTTAAGGATAGGCAAGCAATGAGAATCAGAGTAGGGCATGAATACCAAATAAAATAATGTCTCTAAATAAAATATGAAAGATGGTGGAATAAGATGGACATTATTACCCTAGCCCAGAGATCAGTTAAAAAGTAATCAACAAACCAATCGTATTAAAAGTATTCCTTTCTTTCTCAGTACTAATCCATTATCAAAAAATTGATGAAAGATGTAGCTTTGGTCAGGAAGGCAAACAGTTCAAGATAGAAAATCCCCCAAATTATGAAAATAACAAAATGTTTCCCCATAACTGAAAAATGTGGTAAACAGACCATCAAATGCCTATAATCTCTTTCCACAATACTGTGTGGTTGATTAACTCACGTTTTTTCATCAATTATGTCTGTCTCTAAAAGCCTGGTTGCCCATTTGATGTCCATCTCACAAACATTCTGTTACCCTTAAGCGTTATTTCAAACATCTAGTTGGTTAACACCTTCTAAAGTAAGGATGCAAGAAAAGAAAACGCTGAAATGGCGCCAAGTACCACACAGCTGTACAGCCAAGATTGCTACTGGCACTCGCGGTGCTCTACACCCATGCAACTGCACTACTAGCCTTGGCAGCCATCTTGGAAATGATGCCCGGCTCACAAGGGAGCCGACGCAGAGTGCAGTGAGCGAACTGCAGTTACCACCGCTGTCGCTACAGATAATTCTAAGGCTGAATCTAACGATGTAGCTGGCGGCTTTGCCTCAAAGGAACAATATTAAGTTACCAGGGACTTAAGACCACTCTAATAAAGCTACAGTCAGAGTTTAAAAAAAAAAATTCTATTCAATTAGCACGATTGTGACACCAGGAAGTAGTAGAAATAAAAACTGAATAAGGAAAAGGACCCCCCCCTGCAATTCACTCTACAGGCAAACAAAACCAGCTTTCTCTGGCGAAAGAAGTACTAATAGAAAACTCCCCCGAGGTATTAAAAGAGGTTTGAAATAGTAAACAAAGGCAATATAACCTTATGTAAAGATGACAAAAATCTCATGTCTTTGACTTGTCAAATCATGTTACTCCAAAAGGTTTAACAACGCGTGTGTACACACACACACATACATATACATTCTTTAATTACAGGATCACATCCTCAAATCCTAATTTCAGTAATGTATAAAGACAAGGATGAAAACGTGTTGGCCTGCAATTTCCCAAAACTGTTAAGAAACGACTCATTCACTCCGCTTTCCTTAACTGCTTTGTGCCACAACGAACCCTTTGAGATTACCTTTAGATTAATATTTAGCTGAAAAACAAAAACGAACCCTACATACACGAATCCCTTTACTCATCAAGAAAACAAAATATTACACTACCGAGGAGGCTACTGCCTTTCAGAACGCGGCTGGGTCCCTGCAACATGCTAACTGAACCCCTAGCCCCGCAGAACCAAAGGACTGAGCGGCAAATATGCAGGAACAGGGATGGAGCTTCAGACACGCGCATCTCACCTGTTGATGAAACCGTATCCGTTTCTTACATTGAACCATTTTACTGTTCCCAAAACCTTCGTTGCTGGAAAACAAAGCAAAACAACCCTCGATTACCAGCCAGCCTTGTAAAACGCCCTGGCTTCGGGATCTATCCCCTTGCAGCTCTCGGGCACCTGACAGCCTTTTCTCTCCCCATCCCATTAACAGGCCCGCGCGGGGACCCCTAAGCGTCCCTTGCCTTACACGTGGGTGGGCTCAAAGCCGTGGGGCGCCGCAGGGCAGGCCTGGGGCGCGGGCCCAAGATGGGTGTGTACGCAGGCCGCGGGCGGGGAGCACGTGAGGGAAGGGGAAGCCGCCCGGCCCACTCCAGCCTGCGTAGGCGGCGCGCCGCGCCCTCTGGGCACACGCGGAAGGGA